ACACTTGTGTCAGGACAGGCGTGAGAGCCCATGCCCAGTTCCCAGTCCCACTGGCAAAGCTCACAGTGAGGTCTGCCTCCTGGGCTCTTTGGAGAATGACACTGGGTTGTCACCTGAGCTCGAATGCATCTATTGATGCTGAGAAAGAGGGGTGAGTGGGGCGGGGGATCTTACATGTGTGCGAGGGCCCGCACCCTGCTGGGTTGGTTTGAAACACGGATCTTAAGCGCCTCTTCCTGCCACGCCGAGTCCTGTGTGCAGGGCCGTGGACACAGCTGTCTGCAGTAAACCTTTCATTTCACAAGCCAGCTGGTTTACTGATAATTAAAGCAAGGACAGCAGCACAGGGACAGCATGGAACTTAATGATGATAATCACTTTCATTTGTCAAGTGCCCCAGACTCCTGGGGGATGCCGACTGTGGCATCCAGAAGCCATGGTGTTCAGCTGCTAGGAGACAGAAGGGAGGCCAGCCCACAAATGTTGCTTGGACAGAAGTTCCTGGGTGCTAGTTTCTGTCTGAGGGGACACTAACAATCCCAGAGCGAGATTCAGCCTCAAATTGGAGCTGATCTATCAGATCCTGGAGAAACACCCCCAGGAGCCTTGCACGGAACCCCAAGTGATAAAGCACCAGAATGTCACATGATTCCGTGCCACAGAGCCTCTGGCCCTGAGGAGCCTCTTAAGTGTGAACCTTTCCTTAAAGGCAATACACATGGTTCTGGATGCTTCTCTCAGCTCAGGCAGCTGCAGATGCCAGCGAGCCACAGGCATCCTCCAGGCCCCAGAACGCTACCTGGAACCACGCTTCCCCTGCAGACAAGCCAGGGAAGCCACAAGGAAGACATAACTGTCCAAGGGATAGATAGATAGATAGATAGATAGATAGATAGATAGATAGATAGATAGATAGATAGATAGATAGATGTGGAAGCCAGAATGACACAGGCCTGCTTGTCTGCTAACTTGAATACAAAGAAGACAGGTGGATGCTGAAGCTGAAGGCAGTTGTTACAGTGTCTCAAGAGAACCGTGAGCCACACTCCCCAGTAAGGGGATCTCTGGCTCCCAAGCAAGGACCTCTTGAAAGAAAACGAGAGCAACTCTGGGGAATTCGCTCCAGGGGTAGACTTATCACTCATTCCCCCAGCCCTTGCCATTCTTCCCACCACCCCCCCCCCGTGGTTACAGAAGTCCTCAGGGTGTGCTTCCTGCCTAATTTGTACCCAGACTGAAACTTGATGGGGGCTCTTGAAGCAGATGGCACATGCCCCACTCTTTCCTGATAGGGGGTGCCTCCTGCTGTGGTACAGAGAGAGGTCTGTAGTGAGCCCAGCTCCCCCTCCAGAATTTGGCAGAATAAAGTTGCCATGGTGTTTTAGAGGTGAAGTCGGTACTACAGAAGAGCCATAGGTATCCTGAAAGCCCATCTGCCATAGTGACAACTGCCAGTGCAGTATTATGCCGGTACAGTCAGGAGCTGGAGACAGGAGGCATTGGGGGAGTAGGGTATGGGAGGTATCACCTCTTTCTCAGGAAGCATGCTCAGTTCTCCAAATGAGCACTCCGGACGGCCAGCACCACTTCTGGGCCTCCAGAGACCTGTGCAAACACCCCAGCTGAGCCTGCCTGGGCTTCGGGCTGCAGAACCCAGCTTGCTCGGATGTGATGTTTCGCTGGCAGTTTGCGCTGCAGAAATAGAAAGCAGAAGCACCTGCCATCCCGCTGAGCTCAGTGAGCGGTTTGTGAAGAGCCAAGCTGTGTCTGGCTTGGGTTCTCACTGCAGGCTACTCCCTGTAGTTGTTCATGGTTGAAACAGCGTTCAGCCAGTATCTGGGAGTCCCTGGACCCCAGCCTCCCAGACAACCGACATCCTTTGAAATGGCTAGCCGGGCATGCATGCACATGAAAGGTGCCTGGAAGATCAAGGGACCTGTGTCCTCAGAACCCTGTGGGTACTATTGGGAGACAGTGTAGCTAGAACCAGACGCCAGGGACTTCCCAAAATTGCACCAGAAGCAAAGAGCTCCTGTAGCCAGGTAGCAGCGCCTGAAAGTGGCTCCCTGGGCAACTTACACACTGATCTGAAACAAGGACTCTGGCTAGTCTGGTGTTCTCCATTGCATACGGAATAAACACCCACCTTATCCAGGCTGAGGAGATATTGCTCTAGGGCTTCTTGTAGCTCCTACAAAACCCCATCAGGGGCATTTCATCACTGAAGGCCTCCTATAGGTGACAGCAGTTATCTGTCTTAAACATCATGGCTGAGCTAGGCTTCTTCCCCTCCCCCAGGCCTGTTCCACACTTAAATGACGGTAGCAAAGGAAGTGGGAAGCAGATAGGAGCCACTATGGAGCCCTGGTCACCTGAAGCTGGGAATAGCAGAGACAGCTTGGGTGCACACACAGCCCTGGGTGGGTATCATGCAGTCAGTTATGCTAAGTTGCTTCTGTCGAGAGCCATACCATATGTAATTCAGGCTTGCGCCACAGGGCTGCCTCTCAGAGCTTCTTAGCTTTACCAGTGTAGCAAAGAACGCCCACAGATCAGGTATAAATGAGCCCACGTTCCCATGAGACTACTGTGACCTGAGGTCATAGCAGTCTGTAGTTGCTGGGGCCAGGCTGGGCCAGGATCTTCTATGGAAGGCACATGTGGAGAGTGGATTAGTGTCCACTATGATGTCCAGGCGTGCCACAGGGAGTCTCAAAGAACAAGGCCTGGCCTCCTCTCCTGGGAATGCTCCTAACAGCTGACTATGACTGCTTTCGCCTTCCCCTGGTAACAGGGAGGCTGAACAAAAAGGATGTATGCTTGGTGCATGTCGGGAATGCCCACTCCACAGAGACCAAAGCTGAGGGCTTGGGAGTATATGCTGAGGGGTTCTGGAATAGGAACCCCATGTAGTAGGGCCTTTTCCTCGGACCTCAGGAGGAGCTGATGTCTTCCCACAGATGTGACGAAAACTGCCTGAGCTGCGAGGGCTCCAGCAGGAACTGCAGCAGATGTAAGGCTGGCTTCACACAGCTGGGGACCTCCTGCATCACCAACCACACATGCAGCAACGGTGAGCATCAACAGGGTGACCCTCAGAGCTGCCCATGAAGCAGTAAAAGGGGATGAGAAAGAACAGGCATGGCTGCCCAGAGTAGGGGTGATATCTATGACTTGTTTGACCATCTAGTTGACTACATAACTTAAAAGAAGTTTTGTTTGTATACCGTTCCCACTCTTCTGACATAGGCAGGCGATAGGAGCTTCCCCCTAGGAAAGGCCTGAAAAACCCCATCCTCGGGACTAGAAGAACTGAGTTGAGTCCCGCGCTCAGCAAAAGGAACCCAGCTGTGCTATGGGAGGGCCTTGGCTCTACAGACAGATGGTAGGGGATAAGAGGACAAATTATGAATCTAGAAACGCAGAAGAAATCCTTAAGGCAGGAGGAGGATCCGCAGAGGCCTCATACAGGAGCAGGTTGCTGTGTCTTCTACTGAGAACGCAGCAGGGAGGAGCTACATTGAGCCAGCGCTGTATACCATATCCTGATATGCAGGAGAAGGGGGTCAACCCACTCCATGGGTTCAAGGGTGGACAGGTAATCCCCGGTTATAATGCTGGCCTGGCCCTGCCATGGCAGAGTGCCCATACAGCCCTCTGCAGGTGTCCTAACTGCCAGGTGACCGACCTGCTTGCCTTGTTTACTTTTTAAATTGGCAAAACCCTGTCCTTTCAAAGACCAGGGGGCTTCCTGTTTAGGAAGTCCCTGCTCGAGTTATGTACCCAGCCCCAGAGAATGAGGCTGCCATAGGACAGTCTGCTCCCTTGTGACAATGCAGAAGCCGATGACCAGCCTCCTCTGCTCTCCCCACTTTGCCATCCCTGAGTCCTGCCTGCTGTCTTCTCCCCTAGACTCCATTCCCGAAGCCTGCTTTCCTTCCTGCTCTAGCCCTGCACCTCTGTCTGCACCAGCCCTCCCTTCTTCTTCCTAAGCAGCCACCAGCAGTGTCCTGAAAGAGGCTTACATGCCACCAAGGACCCTCTAGCACACCCCCATAGCCCCTTCAGGAACCCCCTCCCCCTTGTCACTTAAACTTAGCGGATGTTCCGTACCCCGGTGCCACCTGGGCCTCACTGGACTTTTGTGTTGAAATGACTCATAAGAGTCTGTGTGCCCTGCCTGGTGTGCCATCGGTGCCTAGCAAGTAAAGAACAGTGGAATCTTAACAGTATCCAAAGTCTGATGCCTCCTTTTCCTTTCTTGTTGCCAGCCGATGAGACCTTCTGTGAGATGGTGAAGTCCAACCGGCTCTGCGAACGGAAACTCTTTATCCAGTTCTGCTGCCGCACCTGCCTCCTGGCTGGGTAGGGGCACCAGCTGCCCGCAAAGGGCAGGGTCCCCCTGTCTGCCCATTTGCCCATCCACCTTCCTCCAGATGGTCAGCCATAGCCTGTTCCTGGGGTGGCCCTGCATCTGGCAGCTGGATCTTTCCCAGAGCTGGGTCCTACGGCAGCAGCTCAGCACCTGAACCAGGTGGAGGTGGCCCTTAAAGGATCTGTGGCTAAAATTGCAACACCCCCTCAAACTCTGCTTGCTGGCTGCAGCCTAAAGTTGAACTCAAAGTGGGAACAAAATGAATTATAAGACTTAGAGCTGCAGCTCCGGAGTGGCTTCTGGGACCCTAGTTTACTGAAATTTCAAGACCAAAGCAGAAAACAGAGAGATGCCTGGTACCACATCAAGTCCTCCTCCCACAGTTTGTGTGACCGTGGCAAATCTCACCAAGCTGGCTGGCAGGACCCTCGGCTGTCCTCCCCTATGATAAAGGGCCTAGCCTCCTATCCATGTGTCACTGGCCACCAAACAGCCTGAGAGACAGTTTGGTCAGACTGTAAATACGATAGGTTTCAGGGCATAAGATGTATGACCACTGGGGACAGAATCTCTGGCGATGTAGTCAGCTCCTTCCAGAACTGCAGCCACCGCCTTGAAGGTCCAGCACCAAACCGAAACAGATCATTCTCTCTTCAGCGTTCTCCTGAGTGAGCCAAGCTGTCCTCACGACTGTTCTTCCTGTGTCCCTGGGGCCTCCTGGGCCTGAGCCACCAGCCATCTACAGATGCAGAGCCTATGAAAGAGGGTCCAAAAAGGGTATTCAGGGCTAACCAAAAGGCACCTGATGGCCAAGCAATTTCTCCTTAAACGTGCAAAGCCAGCCCCTGAGTCACTAATCGCCAGTCCTCCACATTACCCAACCGCTTTTAAGTGCATTTGGCCTCTGCTCTCAGGACTCTGTTCGCGGGTGGATGCTACTCTGGTCCAGTATAGTATGAGCCTACATGATGTAGCTGGATTGATTTCTGACGAGCCTACGTAGGCATTTTATAAGCTACGTGTTCTAATTTTTACCAATGTTAATTATTTTGACAAATATTTCATATATTTTCATTGAAATGCACAGATCTGCTTGATCCGTTCCCTTCAATATGGGAGTAACATTTGCCTTAAATTTCTTCCAACCTTGTCTCTCTCCATATTGTCCTGTGCCCCTCTCTCTGACTACAATGTGTTTTGCCACCTGTGAGTGGCAAGGACCCAGCTGTCGTCTGTTGAATCCACGACTTCGATGAAGAAATCAGTGAAGCAAATCTAATGTTAACCCTGAGTTAATAAAAGAGTTAACATCCCATTGCAAAGGAGCCTGTATTTCTTTCCAAGGTAAAACGTGGGGCCTTGGTTCTGGCCAGCGGATGAAATGGAGATCACTTTTTGGTTTGTTGATCTGTTTGATATCTTAGCAACAGGAAATATAATTAAAAAAAAATGTTTGAAAGGTCATAAGGATATCGAAGCCCACCTGTAGTTTGACTTCACCCACTTGTTTGCTAAGACAAGCTACCCCACTCCTGGTAACAATTTCTGTTTTGGTTAGGGTAATTAGTGCTGTGATGAAACACCGTGACCAAGAGCAACTTGGGGAGCAACAGGCTAATTTTGTTTACACGTTCATATCACTGTTCATCATCCAAGGAAGTCAGGACAGGCACTCAAATGACTTGAATCTGCAGGCAGGATCCGATTCAGAGGCCATGGAGAACTACTGTTTATTGGCTTGCTCCTTGTGGCTTGTTCAGCTTCCTTTGCGGGGTGGTTTTTTAAAGGCAGGGTTTCTCTTTTTAAAAGACACTTAGCTGTCCTGGAACTCATCCTATAGCCTAAGCTGGCCTCAAACTGACAAAGATCTTCCTGCCTCTGTCTCCTGTGGGCTAGGATTAAAGACATGTGCCACCATGCCTGGCTTAATCTGCTTTTATAAATAGATAGATAGATAGATAGATAGATAGATAGATAGATAGATAGATGATAGATAGATAGAATACAGGACCACCAGCCCAGAAGTGTCTCCACCCACAATGGACTGGGCCCTTCTATATCGATGATTATTTGAGAAGTACTCAGCAGGCTTGCCTGCGGCCTAATCCTATGGAGGAATTTCCTCAGTTGAGGCTGCCTCCTCTCAGATGACAGAAAAACTAGCAGGCACAAATGCCCTTATCAACTTGACACACAGACATGTTAATAGTTTATGAAACACAACCTTTCCTTCCTTGTTATCCCCAAGATCTCATATTAATATTACATTATAAAACATGTTACAAACTTTAAAAGTCCCACAGTCTTTACAAATTCCAGCACTTTAAAAGCTCGGGCTATTTAAAGATTCAATAGCTCTATAGAGCTCCAAAATCTCTCTTTTTTTTTTTTTGGTTTAATTTTGGCACTCTCATCTGTGAGTTCCTGTAAATCAAAAATAAGCTAAGTACTTTCTTCTTCCAAAAGGAAACAACAAGGGCACAGTCACAACCAAAGCAAAGCCAAGTTCTAACCGTGTAAATAGCTCAGTGTCCAATGTCCTCATCTTCTGGGCTCTTCCTAAGGCCTTGCTGCAGTTCCTTTTTAAATTAGAAAAATACTCTTAGATCTTTTCTAAAATTATCTTTTGAGAATTTCATCCAGTTTATATTTTATTTATCTTATTCTTTCCTGTACCTTACCTTCTTTCAGAGCCTCCCCAAATCAAGGCGTTTCTGGGTCTTAAAAACCAGCTCTGTAGTCCAAGACCTCCACCTAGTGGTTCATCCTGGAAGTAAGAAAAGTTTGAATTGTTTTGTTGTTTATTTTTTAATTTTTAAACACTCAAAGTATAATTATAGAAAAGTTGTATGATACAAAAAAATATTTTCCTGAACAATGTAAGAGTAACTTTCTGGAGAATAGCCATGATGCCCTCAAACACTTTAGAAGGCATGTTTTATCAAGAAAAACATCTCAGCACTCCAGAGGCCAGCCTGGCTAAAGACACTGTCTCAAAAACACAGGTGACAGGTCTGGAGAAATGACATCCAAGACTGCCCTCTTACTTCATTCATGCACACTCTGGCACACATGTACACACACATCCACACACACACACACACACACATTGTACATGAGGTGTTCTATTATGTTTTAACTACCAACTTTTATTGCTTTTACTTTTATAATATGTGTAAGATATCAAAGAATATTATGGCCAGGTATGGTGACATGTGCCTTTAATCCCAGCACTTGGGAGGCAGAGGTTCAAGGCCAGTCTGGTCTACAAAGAGAGTTTCAGGACAGCCAGATCTGATGCACAGAGAAACCATAGAAAGAAAGAAAGAAAGAAAGAAAGAAAGAAAGAAAGAAAGAAAGAAAGAAAGAAAGAAAGAAAGAAAGAAAGAAAGAAAGAGGGAGGCGTGGGAGGGAGGGAGGGAGGGAGGGAGGGAGGGAGGGAGGAAGGAAGGAAGGAAGAAAAGTTACAAAGCTACTCAAATTAATAAGGTTTCAGGATACAATGTCAATATACAAAAATCAACTAATTTTAATATAGCAAAAAGTACTAATTAGAGCATGGGCACTGGGAGGGCTCTGGCAAGATTATCAGCTGGGTAAAGCACTTGCCACCAAGTCTAATGACCCGAGTTAGATCCCAAGGATCCTCTTGGTGGAAGAAGAGAGCAGATTCCCGAAAGCTGTCCCCTGACCGACATATATGTCCCACAGTGGGTGCACACAAAATTAATTAATTTTCATTATTTATTTCATAAAATATATTTTGATCATGTTTTCTCCTCCCCCAATCTCTCCCTATCTCCTTACCCACTGAACTTCATTTTCTCTCTCTCTCTCTCTCTCAAAAGAAAAAACACAAACAAAGCAACAATAAGAGAAAATGCTCAAACACAGCAAAATAGCATGCATACACACACACACACACACACACACACACACCATGGAGCTGTGTCTTAGTTATTGTTCTATTGCTATGAGGAGATAGCCTGACCAAGGCACTTTTTAGAAGAAAGCATTTAACTGGGAGCCTGCTTACAGTTTTAGATAACTAGTCTATTGTCATCATGGTGGGGAGTGTGAGCAGGCAGGCTGGTGTGCACTGGAGGGGTTACTGAGAGCTCACTCCTGATCTGCAAGTTGCAGGTGAAGAGTGACTGAATAAGTGGTCTATTAAGAGTAGACATGGTATGGACTTTTAAAAACACAAAGCCCAACTCAAGGGACACACCTCCTCCAACAAGACCACCACCATTGGGGGATATTCAATCACACTGTAAACCCCAAGTTTGCATTTGCATCATTTAAGTAAAATTAACTTCAGGTCAGGAGGCTTCATTAGCAATTAGTTGACAGAAAGTAATCATAGGGCATCAGAGGGAATATGGGAGAGATAGAAAGTAGGAGGGTGGGGTTTAGAGGGGCTCAGCTTTTTCTGATTTGGCCAAGCAGAAGCAGCACGGGTCTTTGGGAGACACCAAGAAGGAGGGAAGGTTAGCTAACTGTGACCCAGTATCTCTGAGCTAGCAGGTTTTTACCCCAGGCTTTGAATGTCAAGTCTTATATATAAATAGAACAATAGAGATTTAGTTAAAGCTATCGTTAACAGCAGCAACAGCAGTAGCAGCGACAGAGCTGGTACCAGTGGCAACAGGATTCCCACCAGACTGTAGCAGTTAGGCCGCTGCCAGAGAAGCAAGCCAGTAACTGCGCAGTTGCAATTGCTGGCTGAAATTAGGGCACAGCCACTAATCTTTGGCAGAGCCAAAGTTAAAAAACACACAACTAATCCTTCCTAGATGGTACCACTATCTGGGGACTAAACATAGGAGCCTATGGGAACCATTCTCATTCAAACCACCACAGGTTCATCTTGTGTTGGGCAGTTACTCCTGAACATGGGGCCTGCCTACCCTGGAGTGTGGTCTGATATACCCAGTAACAGTTCATTGGCGAAAACTGACTTTTTTCCTTTTCCAATAGGTATAAATTGCAAATAGCTTCCTGGTTAGAGGTGGGACCTCTTGTCCACCGCCATTTTTCAATGACAGGACCCTGTCTAACTTGAACCTGTGGTTCCTTGTGCATGCTGCCTACAGCCCCTGTGAGTTTGAGTGAGCACCAGTCCTGTAGTATCTGGAAGACACTGGTTCCTTGGAGTCACCCACCACTTCTCACTCTGAGACTCTTACGGCTGCCTCTTCTGCATAGATCCCTGAGCCTTAAGGGTTGTAGTTTGATGGCTATTTTGGATTTAAACTTACTACATCTGGAAATAACTAAAACACACAAAAAAAAATGGCTGATCACACCTGTGACAAAATTTTGCTTAATTAGATCATTTGAAGTGGGGAGATCCACTTGTAATCTGAATCTTTGAGGTGTGATGACACACCGTTACTCTAGACCTTGTGAGGCAGAAATACCCATCTGTTTTTTTCTTTTATTTTTTGTTTTTGTTTGTTTGCTTTTTCGAGATGGGGTTTTCCAGTAGCTATGAGTCAGTCCTCACATTTCTTCTGTAGACCAGGCTGGCCTTGAACTCACAGAGATCCGCCTGCCTCTGCCTCCTGAGTACTCGGATTAAAGGCTCGCACTACCACCACCTACTGGGAAGTCCCACCTCTAATCTGGGTCACATTTTCTGCTGAAAGCCTATATAAAGACCATGGAAAAAGGAAGCCTTTCTCTTTGCCTGCTTGCTCTTCCCTTCAAGAACAAATCCATTCCTTCACTAGCATTAGAGCCTACTTCTTCAGGGATCCTGTATAGACTTAAGAACAGCAGAGACATCCAGCCTGTGTACTGAGCAACTGCTGGATTCTTGAACTTTCCACTCATAGGCAGCCACTGTCGGATTAGTTGGACCACAGCCTGTAATTCATTCTAATAAATCGTGTGTGTGTGTGTATGTGTGTGTGTGTGTGTTCGAGGAGGTTAGAAATGAGCGGTGAATCCCCTGAAGCTGTAGTTACAAGCAGTTGTGAAGCGCCTAACAGGGTACTGGAATGTGAACTCAAGTCCTTAGCAAAAGCAGCAAGTGCTCTTAACCTCAACGCCATCTCACCGGCTAGCCCAGATATGAATACTTAAACGTGTAGAAGCCGCAAGTCCATCCTCTGAGGCTTTAAGGAGACAATACTAGCTCGGGTGTGGACCAATTTAATGCAGTCCAGCCGAATGGCCCGACCTTAGCTCTGCTGGAAGCCCAAATCCGGTTTAGAAACCTGTAGCGCTGGAGCCTTCACGTAGTCTCCGCCCCTGTGGATGGAAAAGGGGACAATCCCAAACACCTCTCCCTCGAGGTGCACTGAAGTGAGAGTGCCTCTCGCGTGTTCTTATCTTTTGGACACAAATGTCTGGAATCTGGGCTGTCCACACACTCCAGGAACGCTCGAGCCCCGAACCTTGAAGCAAAGACGACGATCGCAATGCTCGGCGGGGCCTTCGATTGCTTTCGCCTGGTGGTCGAGCTGCGCGCGGCTGCGATTGGTACTGCCTGGCAGCGCGGCGCGGTGCACTGTGGGACTCGGCACTGGCGGGAGGCGCAGGCCTGTGGCCGAGGTGAGGGGACTCTGGCGGCGGCAGGATGGTGAAGCTGACGGCGGAGCTGATCGAGCAGGCGGCGCAGTACACCAATGCTGTGCGGGACCGCGAGCTGGACCTTCGCGGTGAGTTAGGCGGAGCGCGGGCTGCGTCCCGGCTCGGCGCGCGCCGGAGAGAAGCGGCCCCGCCGCGTGCGCCGAGGCCGGAGCCCGGCCCGTGGGCCTCCCGCCCGGGTCCGGGTCACCTCGCATCGACTCCGCCAGGGCCCTTTGGAGCCGTCTCCTACCCGCTCCAGCTAGCAGACACGGCTCCTCAATTCCTTCCCGGGTCCGTACCCGTTAGGCTTTGCGCGGCTCGTTCAGCAGCCTGAACTGTTTGAGGGCCAGGCAAATAGAAATTGGTGCCTACAGGATGGCGACCTGTAAAACAGGATGGTTTTTAGCAAGTTCGTTCATATGACACGTGAGGGTAGATTAGATAAAAGTGAAAGTTATCTTAATTATACAGTAATCCCCTTTCGGATTTGTTCATTTGCTTTTGAGACAGGGTCTCCTGTCCCCAGAGCTGGCTTCAAACCGCTATGTAGTTAAGGATTTTCTCGAACTTACGATCTCTTGCCTTGACTTCCCGAGGTGCTGGGTTTAAATGTTTATATGATGCTACGGATGAGGCCAGGACTTTGTGCGTGATAGGCAAACAAGCACTCGCCCCAAAGAACCAGATCCGCAGCCCCCACTAATTCACTGTTATGAAGGTGTTTTCAACATTGAACTGTTTGACCTGAGACTTAATCATTACTTCCATGTGAGGGGTGGTGGGCACCCTTCACCTGTTGAGTTGGTTTTCAAAAACAGCATTAGCCCGGCGGTGGTTGTACACGTCTTTAATCCCAGCACTCAGAAGGTAGTGGTAGGCGGGTCTCTGGGTTCGAGGCCAGCCTAAGCTCCTGTCTCGAATGAAACAAGACAACAACAAGTAACCCGGCGTAACATTAAAAGTGTAATTATCAACCTAACTTTTCAAGAGATGGCTTTGAAAGCTATTAGAGTTATTAGGCTTAAGATTATGTAACTATGACCTGAGGCAACCACAGTCTCAGGGGACTGTGCTCTGCCGTTTGCTAATATCCCTTGCTGACCTCTAGGAAATCCTAGTACGTTTGTTGAAATTAATGCTTTCAATCTGTTAGAGGAGCATCTGGACCCTTTTACTGTCTTGGCACATTTTTGGTCTCTGCCGCATCTCTGAAGACCATGCAGCCTTGAGAAAGGTTATTTTGGTACCATATTTTATTGGACTCCTTCACAACTGAGTTGTGTACTAAATGTCTCTTCTTCCTCTGGTGTGTAGCTCGATGCTGATGCCCGTTAGATAGTCAAGGGGATGCTTGCAGTGTGATTTGGGGCTTATATAAACTGTTTTCGGCTCTGGTGCAGAGGAGGGTAGGCAGGATAGACGAGGCTATACAGCCGAGTTATGTGAAAGGTTGAGCACGCTAGTCACCAGTGCCTGAGCAAGGCTTGGGTACTGCCAGTAAGCAAGCCTTATAACTCAAGGACTTTGAGCGGTGTGAGTGCCTTGTAGGTGTTCTTATAAACAGTGGACACCAGTATTAGGAAGGATGCGCTTCTTGTTCTTGCCCTCAACCTCCTCACTTCTACTACACAACCACACACTTCATGGTTCTAAGGACCGGTAACTTGTTTGTCGTTTCTCTTCAGTGTTTTTGTGCAGTACTTGACATGGCACCGGTGCCGGTTTAATACTTCTTGAAAGAATACTTCAAGTCTAATTACCATCAAATACCCCTACTATTTTCAGAACCTTTCATTTATATTAATATTTGTTGTTTGTATTTTTCCCCTCTTACAGGTTATAAAATTCCTGTCATTGAAAATCTGGGTGCTACCTTAGACCAATTTGATGCTATTGATTTTTCTGACAATGAGATCAGGAAACTGGATGGTTTTCCTTTATTGAGAAGGCTGAAAACATTATTAGTGAACAACAACAGAATTTGGTAAGTGTCTGCTAGCGAGAATACTTTCTTCTCTGAAGTAGATGTTACAACGTACCCTGAAGATGGTGTGTTGTTGTTGTTGTTGTTGATGATGTGTTATTAGTGTTTTGCCTGTAAGTGTACCACATACCTGCCTGATGCCTTTGGAGGCCAGAAGAGGGTGTCAGTTCCCCTGGAGCTAGAGTTACAGACTGTTGTGAGCTGCCACATGCATGCTAGGAATAGAATCTGGGTCCTCTGGAAAGACAGCCAGCACTCCTAAGTTGCTGAGCCACCTCTCCAGCCTCTCCATGTCTCTTCTTAAAGGGAGAAATGAATCGAGCACTTCTCCTAAAAGATTGGGAGATTAATGTGGGCATTGGTCTGACTTACTGTTTACTCTTCAGAGATCTTTAATATTCGTAGTTGATACTAAACTTTGAATTTAAATTTAAAACATGTTGCTATGTATACATTTCAGATTCTGGAGCAGTTATCAACAGCATTGTAATAAAACAATTTCTAAGGGCCAGGTGTAAGGTACCCCCCCAACCCTAACACTTGGCAGGCTGAGGCACGCCAGTTTATCTCCTTAGCAAGTTCCACCTGGTGCTGCATAGTGAGACCCTGTCTCAGTAAAATCTTTTTAATTAAATAAAATCACTTTTCACTGAGACGCTATATATCATACACCCTGCTTTTTTTTTCTTTGTAGTTGGCTTCTAGAATATAATTCTGTGAAATTAAGATCCTATTTGTTTTTTTGAGACGGGGTCTCACTATGTAGCCTTGACTGGCCTGGAACTCACTATGGATCTGCCTGCCTCTGCTTGCCAAGTGTTGGAATTGAAGGTGTGCAGTACCACCTGGCTTTATCAGCTTTATATAAATATTGTATTAATATAGTTATTGAAGAAGATTTTTCATTCCTGGTACTGTTAGGGTCTATGGCTCTTGGGAAGAATTGTCAGGGGACTGGGATTGCAGAAGCTTTTATTAAGAAAAGATTCCAGGGGCTGGAGGTGTGGCTCAGTGTTTAAGAGTACTGGCTGCTCTTTTTCCAGTTCAGAGGACCAGGGCTCTTCCCCCAGACCAGCGTGGCAGCTCACCATTCCAGTTCCAGGGAATTCAAGGCCCTTTTCTGGCTTCCACAGGCACCAAGCACATAATTGGTATTCAGACATAAGTGCAAGCAAAACACCCACACACATAAAAGTACTGAGTGAGTGGAGTTTTTAGGTAGAAGCCATTTTCATGATTAACACTTTCTTTGGATGAATGTGTTGCACCAGCTCTGAGAATGCAGAATCATTGGTTTTTGAGTTTTCTGGGCAAAAAAAATTGCAAATTGGCTAAGTAGTCTTTTTTCTGCCCTGGAATCTCACCTTCCTTGAGGTGGGATGTGGGAGAGCTATTCTGACATACTTGCAAGGATAGAAATATTGTTTATTGCTTTCACTGAGAGCCTTTCTATTTTTCTTTTAGCCGTATAGGAGAGGGACTTGATCAGGCTCTCCCCTGTCTGACGGAACTTATCCTCACCAACAACAGTCTAGTGGAACTGGTAAGTTGAGTGGCGGTAATTGTAAAGGGTAAGGATGCTTCCTGTTCCTTTTTGCTTTTGCTTTTGGTTTTTTTTTTTTTTTCAAGACCAGGTTTCCCTGTAGCTTTGGAGCCTGTCCTGGAATTTGCTCTGTAGACCAGGCTGGCCTCGAACTCACAGAGATCCGCCTGCCTCTGCCTACTGAGTGCTGGGATTAAAGGCATGTGCCACCACTGCCCGGCCGAATGATAGAATTTTTTAAGTCCACTATTAATTCTGTCTTTTAAATGCATCACCAATATCCTATTTGCATTTAATGGTATTATTGGCATATCGTAGCTTGTCTTTTGAGGGACACTCTTTGTCTTCTGTTCTGTTTCTTTATATTGTGTGTGTATGCATGTGCACTGTCTGTGTCTGTCATTCTACTTTCCCTCAAATGCTTTACAAATTATTTGCTGTACCTATTTCTATTCATAGTCAGCAACCTCAGTTTAAAGTCTACAATACCTTTACATTTCTCAACTGTTATTCTTTTTAAATATAATATTTTCATTCTTTGAGAATTTAATACATGTGTACATGGTTTTGGTCTTATTCACTCCCAATTCCTCCCATATCTGCCCCTACCTTCTCACAATTTGATTCCCCCCCCCCCCCCCCCCCCCAATTTTTTTAACCCATCATGTCCTGTTTGTGCTGGCCATATGCTCTGGGTTATGGAACCATCTACAGGAGAATGGTTGAACTGCCAGGGCCCTTCAAGAATACTGACTCTCCCTCCTCCCGTTTCCCCAGCTGTAGAGGTGGGCACTTGTGAGCCCCTGCCCCCTTCCATGCTGGAATATTGACTCTGAGTTCATGAACAGTACAGTGGTCCTGCCATGTTCAGAAGACACTTGTATTGCCTGGTCTCCTGTGGTCTTTCCACTTGTCCTTCCTCAGTAGTCTAGGGGCCTTGGGAGAAGAGGTAGGATAGAGATGTCCCAGTGTGGCTCAGCCCTCCAGAAACACAGTCTCTACACTTTGGCCAGTCTGAGTTTATTCATAAACTGCTATCCACTCCACAAAGAACCTTCTCTGATGAGGTCCAGGAACTGCACAACTAATCTGTGGGGATAGAGATACATATTTAAAGGGCAGTTTGACGCAGTGTCCACTTAGCAAAACAATCATAGCCAGGTCAGCTCTGGGACCTGTGAGCTGCCAAACTTTGGATTTTTAGCTGGATTTATTGTACCAGACATGCATTTCCTCCTCTTGAAGTGGATCTTAGATCAAATCAGAAAATGGTTGTTTATATCATTGTTTGTGCCACTACTACGCCCATGGGTATATTTTGCCATGTTGTCGTTACTGAGCTGACA